GTCTTATGTTTATCTAACAGTGAGAGTTTTGGGTCACAAGCAGGGCCTTTTGAATTTGCTGCAGGATAATGGGGACACTGAGTCAAAAGCTGCTCCACTAAGACTGGGTCCAGCTGCCTTTACTCTGAAAAGATATTCTAATTTTCTAAAATCCTGACCGATGACCTTGCCCAAGGAACAGTGTGCAGTATGATTTTTCTTTTTGGTGATGGCCCATTTTGTAAAATCAAGATAGTGTCATTTGCTGTGTTTAAAGTTAGCCTTAGCATGATTCACAGTTTGATTTCATTTAGAAGGTATTGAGTGATTGCAGGGTGCCAGGCATCTCACTAAGCTCTGGAGAACAAGAGATAAAAGCTGCAGTTCTCAGGAAGTTTCGGTTTATATATGTGTATGTATTTGTTAATTCATTTAGCTGGGATCTGAGCTAGGCGCTGATAGAAGACAGTGAATGCAAGTAGTCTTTTTCCTAGAATCATTACAGATAATAATTCACTGCAACAAACCATTCTGATCTGGTGGGGTGACAAAGAATAACAACCTTGTTTCCAGTAGAGTGTACGTGAAGGAGAACATTCCAGGTTACCAGGAGAGGCTGCCCTGAGGTGGTGAGCCTGCAGGATCTTGAGGGTGCTGGTCGTTAACAGTTCTGCGTTGAGAGGGGTACCCCGGTGCAGGGCTGGCCAAGTACCTTAGTTTCTAGAATAGTCACTTTCTCTTTTCAGCTGGTTTTTTTCATCCAATTAGTCTTCCCTTCCCTTTCCTGTCTGATTCCTCCTTGCATCCAGTGAAGACATACAAAGTGTCACGTAGAGGTTACTTCTGCCCAGACAGCCCACTTCTCTCAGGTGTCTGGAAGATTGAGTTTTGCAAAGGGTTGTTAGGCGATTTTGTGATTCTCTCTTACCCTTCTGCCTTTTGTTTTCCCCGGGCAGATCTCCACTCTGTTAGAAGTGAAGGCACCAAGTTGGGAACTACAGCTTCTAATTTTCAAAGAAAGCGCTTTTGGAGGATTGCTCCTCACAGCAGCTAATGAGTGTTTGTCTGCGGCATCACTTCAGAAAGCCTGGGTATCTCTGAGTTTATATAGGAAATTTCAATCAATCTAGGTTTTATTCTGTTTTTGGCTCCAAGACAACAATCCCATTGGTCTGTTGCATCTAATGACTACAGTTTTATTTCTGTTGTTACTGCTTTTGGACATTTCTTGGATGTTTGATACTGTTATCTGAGAGTTTTTATTGTGGCCGACAAGCACTTGTATTGGTCTATCTGGAAAAGTACTTCCCTGTTTGAATCTTATTTTTCTCATTGTACAAAGTTTATAGTTTTTGAACCTCATGTTTCTACTGTGACCTAAATTATTTCTTGAAGCACAAGGAATTGGGAAAGGAACTCATTTTACTTAGCATTGAGGCACTTTTTTTGCATAGCACTGTTTTTCAGGGCCGTTTCGATCTGGTCTATTGGAGATCTTCAGATCATGGCCCAAATTTTCCTATAATGGGCATACACTCTGTCACCTGCTTTCTGGTTTTAACTTGCCCTTGTATGAGTAAGTTAAAATAGTAGGTATGCCAGAGTCTTACAAAAGAACACCTAGGTCAAATCCCCTCGCAGTTAATACAATACACGTGAATATGGGGCCAGGGGTTGAGGTGGAGGGCCCAGCCCAATGACTGCATTAAACACCGACTCACTGCTTTTATGATGGAGGCAGCCTCCTTCGGGTTTCTGGTAGCTGACCACATGTTATTTTGTTTCAGCAAACCAAAACAGCAGATTGTAACTAGAGGAACTTTCAACATGAGTAAGGTAGAAATTTGACCATTATTATACAAACAAATACTACTATTTGAATAAAGTGTTGAGAAAAAGTCTAAAACTCCACCTATAGGAAAAATAAAAGGTTGAAAGGAAACAGTTCAAAATATTGACAATGAAGGGACTATGGATGATATATTCTCTACATTTTTCCATTTTCAAAACTTTCTTTCATGTATGTATGTTGTGTTTTTAGAATAATATATGCATAGATGTTTATTAATTCATTTAATTGGGCTCCGGGCTAGGCACTGATGATAAGATTATCATGAGACATGGTCTGTGCCACAGAATTATTACAAATAAATGATACAGCATGACAAAGTATTATAATTAATGTGTGAAAGTGCTTACAAGAGTTCAAGAGATAAAAAGCTATAAGAGCTTTGCATATATTTTATGTTTATCCCTAAGTATTTCATGTTTTGGATGCTATGGTAAAATGGAATTGTAATTTTTATTTCATTTTCCAGTTATTCTTTGCTAGCATGTACAGATGCAGTTGGTTTTGTATATTGATCTTGAATCCATTGACCTTGATAAATTCATTTATTAGACCTAGTAACTTTTTTTTGGTAGTCTTTAGGATTTTCTATGTGCATGATCATAGAATCATCAAATAAAGACATATTTCCTCCTTTCCAACATATACATTTATGGCTGACTAATAAGCACATGGAAAGATGCTCAAAATCACTAGTTATCCCAATGAGATACCACCATACAAACTTTAAAATGGTTAAAAAATATGGACAATAGCAAGTTTTGGTGAAGATGTGGAACAATTGAGAGTCTCATATGCTGTTGGTGGGAATGGAAAATATTGCAATCAATTTTATATCTTTTCATTTATTATTGCAATGTCTAGGAGCTCAAGTGCAATGCTAAACTGAAGTAGTGAGAGTGAACATTCCTGCTTGTTCCTGATTTTAGTGGGCGGCATTCAATTCTTTACCATTTAGTATGCTGATGATGTTATCTGTGGGTTTTTTATAAATATGTTTTATCAGTGTGAGGAAGTTTTTGCCTATTACTATTATTCTCCCTTTAAGTTTTCTCTTGTAGTTTTCATTATGAATAGATGTTGAAATTTGTCAAATGTTTTCTGTGCTTCTATTGAGATGATCATTTTTTTTTTTTGCTTTTTTTAAAAATACACGAATTACATTGATTATTGAATGTTAAACCAGACTTTAAATCCCATTTGCTCAAGAGCTTTCTCTTTTTATGTTTTGTTGTACTTAACTTGGTATATTTTGTTAAGGAATTTTTGTGTCTATATTCTTGTGGGATATTGATTTGTAGTTTCTTTTTTTTTTTTTTTT